CCTTGAAGAATGGGCAAAAATCCCAGTGGCTAGATGTGCCAAGCTTATAGAGACATACCCCAAGAAACTTGCAGCTGTAATTGCTGCAAAAGGTGGATCTACAAAGTATTGACTTTGGGGGGGTGAATAGTTATGCACGCTCAAGTTTTCTGTTTTTTTGTCTTATTTCTTGTTTGTTTCACAATAAAACATATTTTGCATCTTCAAAGTGGTAGGCATGTTGTGTAAATCAAATGATACAAACCCCCCAAAAATCCATTTTAATTCCAGGTTGTAAGGCAACAAAATGCCAAGGGGGGTGAATACTTTTGCAAGCCACTGTACATGGGGCAAAGAAAGGGACACTTCTGAATAATTTGCCCATGGATCTCTGGATCTGTTTTTTACTCAGGTTCAGGGGGTTGTGGCACGATCCCTGTTTCATGTTTTGCATGTATTTGAATGATTCTTGGACACAGGACAAAATACAGGCAAAATGTAGGTCAAACCCAGGTCAAATCTAGGTCAAAACCAGATCAAATGTAGGTCAAACCCAGGTCAAATCTAGGTCAAAACCAGATCAAATGTAGGTCAAACCCAGGTCAAATCTAGGTCAAAACCAGATCAAATGTAGGTCAAACCCAGGTCAAATCTAGGTCAAAACCAGATCAAATGTAGGTCAAACCCAGGTCAAATCTAGGTAAAAACCAGATCAAATGTAGGTCAAACCCAGGTGTTGTTTTGATGAAGCACATACATGGAAGCTAAACCCCAGGTGCACTTGTGGCAGGAAGTTTGGTCCAACCACAGTCTCTGGGTCCAACAGGGGAATCAATCCAAAAAGAAAAGCACCACACCCTTTTGTAACAGATCGGAATGTTAGGTTAAAAGTTTGTGATGTGAAACTCATGGAATGAAACCCCCAGTGCACTTGTGGCGGAAGTTTGGCCCGCCGGGGAAAGGTGAAAACCCAAAAAAACACCCAAATTTTTAAGTCGGTTTATTTTAAAAAATAATTTAAAAA